CTTAAAATAAAAACTGTTCTTACAATCTCCAACCATTTCTAAAGAAATCTAATTTCTTGGTTTTTTTCAATTTGAATTAAAAAAAAAAACGTGGCACACTAAATAATGCCTCTGGTATCACAGGTATTAAAAAAATATATTTAATTTTTCAAAACTTTACCACCCTGTGTCTCAAAAGTTAAAACGTTTAGGACATATGCAGCCTATTTAAATTTCTTTCTCTTTATAAAGATCAAAAACGTAAAATACTTTGCCTTTTTTATTCAAACAATGAAAATATATCACAAGACGACCTTCATGAAACATAATAGAGAATATTGTTCTTCGATATGACGAAAAAAAAAAACCAACTGTGGTTGGAAATCAGGAGGAAGAATTAAACACGCTGCTTTATTTTGAAGGTAAATTTTATTTTAACAATAAGAGGACAAAAAAAATTCGTTAATTTTCTCCCGAGAGATCAATGCTGGAAATATGTGAACAGATCATGGGGAAAAATTCATGATACTTTTAAAAACCACAATTTTCACCCCTACAAATTTTTCCCGGCAGAAAATTTAACCGACGCTCATAAGATTCAGCGACTTCAATATTGTCATGAAAATGATTAATGTTCAAAACGATGGGCATTTTTGGAACAAAATTATTTTTACTGATCTTCACTACTGGAGGAATATTGAACGGGAAAAATAAGAATTATTGGGTCATTGAAAATCTCCGCAAAACACAAGCGGTAAAAATACAAGGGCGTAGGTCTCTTAATATTGGGCCATGGTGGATGATATAGTTATCGGACTAGAAATTCTTAAAGGGACTTTAACGCGTAATAGGTATTTGCACTTGCTTTTAAATGGAGTAGAAAACATGCTCAATGAAAAATATGAGTTTTGGATAGGCAGGCATGTCACTCTTAGATGGCCGCCGAATGGCCCGGATTTAAAGCAACTTGACCTATTATCATGGAGTTATTTAAAAAATAAAATATATTACAAAACACTGGAAGAGTAATCACAAGTAAGGTAAGAAAAAACCTGTTTAACTGCAGAGCAAACGATAGAGATTAACTTGAAAGTTTATAAATAATACTTTCAATGTTTTTCATAATAATTTGATTTGAATAATAAACTAGAGTTATTTCAAAAATGGCTAAATGAAATACCGACAAATTATATATTTTTTAAATAGAGTTCCATTTTAAGTAGGTATTCTATTCATAAGTTAAACTGTTAATTTTATATACATTTGCGGTGTTAATTAATTTTTATTGATACCTTCAAAAGATAATAGAGATAAAATCATGCAACTTTTGTATAAGAAGTTTTTGTCTATCCTGTGTTGCCTCGGCTAGCCAATCGGAAATAAACAACAACTGATGTCGTACTTTCTATTTTCCTTTCAAAACTGAATTACACGCTTACACATTTGGTAATTTAACAAGACAAATTAACAAAATAATACTCGCCAAATTGGCGCGTAGCGTATCCCGCTATCGTCGTCTTACCCCCCACAGTTACTCATTTCGCCGTTCTCACTCGTCTTCTTCTTAACTTCTGACAATACACTTTACCACAAATACAACTGGGACAAGGTATTGGGCGCACCACAATCCCCTTTAATAAACTTTGTAGATAGGTGTCAAAATGTACAGGGTGTCTGAAATTAGATAAAGTTGCGCATTTTTACGATCAATGCATCTAGAAAATTTCCGAATATTTCGAAAAAAAACGGTATTGTCAATTTCGTTCTCTATTGTCTATTGGCTTTATTTATTAAGCTAAGTTAAAATGAAAAGCATTTTTTTCTCCCAGCTCATTGATATCTAACAGCCAAAATTATTGTATTAACAGAAACTTCCATGATATTAAACACAAGATACAAAAAAAGTAGACAATAAATTAGTTTACTTATTGTATATTCCATGGCCGGATTGATATCTGCGTTCCATTACTTTTATATTTTGGTCGAACCCCTCACCTTGATCCTCACACTCGGCATCTTAAAAGTAGTCCAGTTGTGAGTGTAAACAGTGTAGTTTTAGACTACTACATATTGTATAATATCATTAAATGAAATCCATGCAACCTTTCAGATTCGATCATGGTATACACAAAGTCTTGATCGGCCATTAATCGCCTTATTTGAGGAACTACAAAAATTTCTTTCTTTTATTTTGCGTCTGAGAGAGCGGAAAATTCTCCACATGGATATTTAGAACCATGCTAAATATTTATTTACAGCTTAAACGGACTGCTTCATCAATCCTAATTTAATATACAACACTGGTAAGAGAAATTTTCGTGGATCAATGAGACTATCGTAAAAAATATTTTTGATCTTCGAGTTTAATTAACCCTTTTTGGCTAGTTCTTTTCACCCAATGTTTCTGTCTGTTTCTACTATCCCACTCACATATGGGTACTTCATATACTGCTGACTGCTGACCTAGTAGAAGTCCCACAATTTTTAGGTCACCACAAATCATCTATAGTCTTTGTGTTTGCTTTTCTAAAGCAATAATTCCGGATTTTCGTGGCATTCTTTCATTTGCACAGAATGGGCAACAAGTACAGAAGCAAGAACATTGCCTTGTGCGAAAGAACAGCTTTGCATAAGTCAATAGAAAGCCTCCAGTCCTCAAAATTGTAGTCTGTACCAAGTTTGTTTATTATATTAGGAATATCGGTGCAATAAACAGTGAACCACTTTGTTCAAAATAGCCTATAAATTCTGACTCAGACTTCTTGAAATATCAGATTTTAACGTCTTGTGATAATATATTTTTATTTCGAAGTCTAGTCGGAAAGATCCTAAACCTAAGTATTTCACCAAATCATTAACACTCCATATATCACCAATATCTTTATCTATGTCAGGTGCAGAGAAACTTGTATCTTTTTAAATTGGCGGAATTCTAAGATATTGGTACATCTGGGCCATGTCGCATTGGCCTAATTGCAGACTTGATAAACAATGTTTTTCAAATTTTTATTATTATATACATGCAGAAATAGTCGTCAGCATGGCGATTTGTCTTCATATGGTAGGTATTTCAAAATGTAGAAATCGCCTGGTTTCATTATTACAATAACGTAACTCTTCTTCACTTACTTTACAAACAATATGTGGCGATCAAGGTCGCCAATTTTCACTTTAAAATAAACGTAGTATTGTTTTTTAAACATGAGTGTAGTTTACGTCTAATTTTTTCGACCACAAAAAACCACACACATAGCCAAACATATCTGAAATATTTTTACAAATAAATTAACTGCACAATGGCCTTTAACAACAAACATACTTACACAACCTCAAAAATATGAAAACTACCAAATCACAAAATCTTTGTTGGTCTGTGTTATTAGCGGATTTTTTATTTTCTATATTTAAGTTTTTGGAAGGTTTTAGTAAACAATATTTTAAAATTTAAATACATAGAAAAAAGATAAAAATATAAGTATTACATAAATTTTATCTTAGTATATATAAGTAAAACTCTTGCAGCAGATATTCAAATTACACTTTATGTTTCGTTACTCTCCTGTATTCCGTCGTCGAAAATTTCTTCAACTCGCGGTCTAAACCGCATAAAGCGCAAATGATTTTAAAATTTCTAATGTCCACAATACTAAAATAAAATACCTTCCTGCACGCTGATAAACGTTTGTTAATCGGCTTTTTATGGGTTTATTGCTTGGTTTGTTGAGGGCCTTTCGTTTACGATATTACAGGCAAGTCATGAATATTTATCGGGTGCTTGACTATACATTATACCTCGTTGATAATCAGAAATAAAGTGACTAATTCACAAATACTTTTACACTTACACACGCCTCTATTTAAAATTTTTCGATGTTGATTCGGCCTTTAAAAGTATTGTTAACCTGTACTTCTTCACTGACATTTTATCGTTAGTTTTAACCCTAATTATGGGTATCAGTTCTCTGCTGTTATTAACCAGATTCAATATTTAGATTATACGATGTCAGCAAAATAACGCCCTGTGTACTAAGTGGTCTTTTAAAATTATACCGGGTGGCCCCCTTTTTAGGGAACCTATAAGAAAATAGCTTTAATCTTGAACTTGATGAACGCTGCCTTCGCCAAATCCAAAATAAGCAAGTTTTCTTTTTTAAGAGTTGATTCAGAATTCAGTAAAACTAAATGTCCATGTGCATAGTTCGACCTATAGCCGGATTGAATATGAGTTAGTGTGTTGCTTTTTTTCAATGATAAACTTAAAATTTTCCACATTTACATACTCCACTTTGTTATGCATTATGAAACAATTAACATGGGAGTTTTGGCTTGCCCATTAGTGATTGTTTCGCCTATTTATGATTTTTTATTTACTAAATTTTGATTCGTCAATCCAGACAATATTTTGAAGAAACCGGTGATTTGTACACATACACTTGCAAAACTCAACTCGTCTTGTTATATCAGAAATGTTTAATATCGTGTTGATTGACGCCATTAGAATATCCCAGTCCGTCTCGACTGCTGAAGTCGAACTTTCTGGATAAGCTTGAAAATAGAACAAAATACTTACCTCGCTTTCTTCGCTATCAGCATGAAACTAAACTAGGTATAAGGAGAGGGAAGCAACCGATAGTAACTGATACATCAGTTGCCGATACGGATTTCAAGAATGTATTACTCTCTTGCTTTAAATTATAGCTAAAGTCTTTGAAGGTGGATAAAAGACCCACATCATATTAGATATCAGATAAAACGTTCAAAATAAGTACCTAAAACCCAATGAAACCCGTCAAAAGGTTTCCTCAGAAATGTAGAAATAAACTATTTATTTAAAATAAAGATGCTATTAGCGACTAAATCCCAGAATTTTTTTAACGAGGGGCTTGAAAAACTTTGTCTATTCTGTATTCATAGCAATATTATATTTTTCCAGGTTTATCTCATAATAAATGGACCACCCGGTACATTTTGTATATGCTACCTTTAAGCGAGTCACGTATTATATCATATTTCTGTTACAGGGACTAGAAAGACGATTAGATTACAGAGAACTTCCAAATACCGAGCTAAGGTAAGTAAGGAGTGGTAACTAAAAATCGATGTTTTATCTTCCAACACAATTAATTTGGACAACCAAATTAGTAGCCAGACAGAAACAAGGCAAAATTGGCATATCGTAGCACACAATTCTCTTCAGACTGACATTTTTAACTTCATAGGAAATTTCATAACTCCCTCAAATTTTCACTTATTATCGTGTCTATCTAACTTAAAGATAGATCCAAATTCCTTTGAGATTTTGTTTAGAGAAATATGATAAATACAAAAGTTATGGTCGAGACTAAAAAATAATTTAAATTTACCTTCAAATATACAGAGCAGCTCATAAATGTGTGGGAAATCAAACATATATTTTTAAATGAAACACCGTATATATTGTGGCATTAATAGGTACTCCCTTTTATACTCAATCACAAGGTTGTTATGGTTTATACTGAGTTTTTTCGGATGTATGCCCTTCAAAAATGATTTGGCAAAATGCACTTGGAACGTGGTAAAAGACTCCTTTGGAAATAACCAGAAACATTCCCTAACAATCCCAAAAAAAACATGAATTTCCAGAACGTTGAGATGTTATATCTTTTTAACGCCCTTCGTTGAAGGGGAGCTATACAGTTTACTTATTATAAAGCTTAAAAATAAATTCTTTGATTGAGTGCGTCTTAATATTCATTACCAAAACCCATCTAGCAAATTTATCCTTTTTGAAGGAAAAATTCCTTCAACCCAAAAAATTGGAAAGTTTATTCCATTACATAAAAGCGGTAGTAATTAATGATTACAGACCAGTTACAGTCATCATGGTTTTCTCGAAGTTATTTGCAACGACTTTTTTTGCAGTTACTTTATTCTTGGAAGGTATTGTTAATTATATAGAATCTGGCGAGTGTCCTGTTCTTGTCTTCTGTGACCTCAGCAGGACATTCGATTGTGTAGATCACTCAATCCTCCATTGAAATTTACCGAGTCCTTTTTATCTTATAGGGAACAGTATGTATAAAACAGATGGTGTATGCACTGAAATAAAATCGAAGTCATCCATGGTAACAAGAGGCGTTCTTCATTGTTCTGTATATTGACGGTTTAGAGTTTGCGTGGCTCACACGACTTCGAGAAAACAGTGTTTAAGGATATTTTAACAGAATCACAAATATTAAGTGTTTATTATGCTCATGTTGAGATTCGAATTGGGTATGGATAATTTTGTGGGATGGTCGATTGATCAGACAAATGTGTTCGTGGTTCAAAAAAGGATCATAAGATGTATGGCTCTCCCATTTCCATATCTACTTCTTGTAAAACCTACTTTAAAATATTTAATATTTTAGCATTGTATAATAAAAATGTATATATGTTTTAAATCTGTGTTTATGTGGATTAAAATAAATCAGGTTTTGTGTTGAACCGTAATTTTCACTCATTGAATACAACATCTAAAGACGACTTTAAGAGTTCCTTATGCAAAATATAATAGTTCTTATAGATTCCCAAGTGTAAGTCTTGTGCGAAATAAATAAAAATGTGTGATAAATTATTTTAAAAAATGTTCAAGGAATATCTTGTGATTAAATGCCTGTACTCAGTAGAAGAGTATTTTAATTAGTCTTTTTATTTCGTTGTTTATAGATTAATGTTTGTAGTCTTGGATTATGCATCATTTTATTTTATTTTTTGACAATTAGAAACATTGTATTTGTCGATTTGGAAAATAACGATTAATATTATTAGTATTTAATACCCTACATTTGTTATACAATTTTATAAAATTCTACCGTCAATATTTATGTTGTTGCATTTTCGCATGATAATTTTCAGAATTGTGTTCCTAAAAATCTATAGAGCTCAAAAAATTGGAGTAATTAATGGAGGTATAATATATTCTAATTTAATTTAATTTAATAAATTTAATTTTCCACCAAAATTAATATTTTTTTATTTTAACTCGCCCAACTAACCAAAACTAAGTGACTGTCAAAAATGACTGAAAAAATTATCATAAATCCAAAAACACTCTGTATAGACCATAACAACCTCACATTGGTGGATTGAGTATAACAAGCAATATTTACTTATGCAATAATATACAGAGTGTTGCTTTTAAAAAATTGGTTTGGTTTCCCACACTATATATTTGAAAATAATTTTAGTCATATCTGTAAGTTTGTTTTTTTTTTCTAAACAAATAATAGTTTGACACATTATTTCGACACCCTGTTTACTAAATACAACGTTGCCAAGCTACCAAATACAAACATAACTTAATTAAATGACGAATGCGCCAGGCTACGGTGTACATATTTTATGTGCACTTTACAGTATAGATTTTTCTCGGACCATATGAAAAAATAAAGTTGATGAAACGAAATGTTGTATTGAAAATCTCTCAACCCTATTTGCCAACGAGGCAGGAAAAAATAAAAACTTAATTTCGTTTTTTATTTGCGTATCTTCAGACTTGACGGAATTTTTGTAGTTTTCTCCACTACACGTTATTAACCTTTAAATTTTGCAACTTTCTTTCTAATTTCGTTATGGTTTCCAATATTCTAATGATAGACATCCATATCGTGGGCACACTGTATAGCGCGACATTGTCTGGACTACAAATTTACTTCAAAAGCATTACCAGGGATTTTTTTGTAAACGCTAAATTTATAATTAACATATCCAGAAAGTACATGTTTTAAGGGTAGGAATTTTTCTTTTTCTTGAAACTCGCAACGCAACATTTTTTTTTCTACAACGAAAAACGACAATTAGTGTATATAAAAAAATTGCAAGTGTTAATTTATCGTATTGAATTGAAACCAGATCCATTTATCTTATAAAGCACTACACGCATTGAATTTATTTTGACTTAATTTCATTGTTTCCAGCAGAAGATCGCGGATTACGTCGAGAAATAGTCCGGCTCCGAACGCGAACGGCATAACCAAATGAAAACCAGGCAGAAAACCGGGCCGGAAAAGTAGCAAGGAATCGCGAGTAATTCTGACCGTTTAGTTGAAATTTCGCCGCAGTATTATAAGGAAAATTAGGGGGGTGGGGAGAGCAGATCACTATATGGTGCTACTGGTCACTTGGAAACGTGTAGAAACTAGTGCGTATTACAACTTGCTCGGACTCCCGCGTTCCTGGTTGTTCGCCCTAAAGATTATCACAACCGATAGACAATTTTAGTTAAACGAAATTTGGAAAATCGCTCGATAGGAAAAAACGGGACCGCGTGTCGATTTCTACGATTCATCTAAGTTAATTTTCAAATTTGACGTTGGCACGAAAAAAAAATTCGTATGTTATTATTATAGATGGCTAGTTTCTGAGATATTGGCAGTGAAACTTTAAAAAAACCCGAATTATGAGTATAGGTAAGAGCAAATAAACTACTTATTAAACAAAACGGCATAAAGTAAAGAAGAAAAACGTCTACAGGCTACTATTTACAAAACTTCTGGATTCCTCCTGCCTCGGATGTTGATTGAATCGAACTTTCTGACGTTTCACCATTCATTATGAAATCAGTTAATATGCAAAGGATCCAATAGGATGATTGACAAAACTTAAGTAATTTCGATTCAGCAACAACCCACGCAGGAAGAAACCAGAAGTTTTGTAAACAATAGTATAGATGATATATTTTGATTTAAAAAAAACTTTAAACCACTCGGTAATAGATCGAGGTTATTGAGTCCAATGGAATAGAATTTATTGCGTTGCTTCAAATGGTACAAATACACTGAGATTAATTGTACAGGGTATATGAAATAAATTTCCCTATCCGCTTACCTCTAGAACACCCCTATGTTATGGAGTTTTTCTATTCCCGTAAAATTCCACAAATGTTGAATTTTATCTCAAAAATTACATTTACACACGTTGAATGCTGTTTTGTCACATAATATACATCTGAAGCGGAATATTTTTTTTCTTCGAACATACCTGCCGAGAGCCGTTTACCTTGATACGGTCAAAAAGTATAATTATTTAAATTTTCTTTGCTAACTATTAAAGAGTCATAGTAAAAAAAGATTCTATTATAGACAATGTAAGTAGAACGCCATCGTTTTTGGTTTCTACTTTACATAAGTTTTGGTTAAAAAAAATTGATACGTTAATAATATTCACAATAATTTTTGTTTTGTCAGATAGATGTTCAGATATCATGTTCAAAAATCTTTCTCGGGGTTAGAATAAATTAACGTTTGATATATGCGAAAATAATTGTCATTATTAACTATACATACAGAAAATTATTTAAAATTATATAAATAATAGGTATCTTTTATGAAATTGTAGCTGTCTAGGATAACAATTTTTTTTTTGATAAATTGAAAAAAAAATGTAAATAATTTTTTGCTGTTTATTTTTTTACCTACCCCTTGCAGAAAATAGAATTACCTGATTTTTAAAGTTAAGGTTAATCTTGTTTTATAAGAATAAAAGAAAAATTGAAGGCTATATCAGCATGGATATCTTGTGTGTATCTTAAAAAGTAACAACGAAAAAAGAATACATTCAACTTCCATCATCAGGAATGGATAGAAAGTAATATTTTTAATTTTTATTCCTTCGACTCTTTAATAGTTACCCAAAAAAATTAAAAAAACAAAGTACTTTTACACCTTACACAAACCTTGTATACCAATTAAAAGGATAGCAGCAGTACATGATTGAATATTTGCTATACTTTTTTAATACAAATTCGTCTATACTATACCAATAAAACGCTTTTCGCAAATTTTGGTAGCAATATCCCAACTAGATACTGGACTATATATATATCGAACATTTTTGAAAAAATATTTAATGCTATAACATGTTGAAATTTTATTAAATTTCGGTGAATTCGGGGGCTAATTTAGCTGCTGCACAATTAGAAAATTATTGAAATTTGAATTGGAATTTGGCAAAAATACGAACAAAAATGAAGGAAAAATGTTCCCAGTGTAAACTAACTTTGATCAAAATATATACTATACCGTTGCGTTGAAATTTTTCTATGTCGATGCCAGTTACTTTCACTTCACATGATAATATAAAAAAAATATATATAACCCTCTTTTATTGCGAATGCGTTGATATAGGGTTGTCCACAAAGAATTCGGTCTTAATAGGGGTTTGCGAATTTTAAACATTTAATTTCGACGCTAGCGGAAATGTGACATACAAGGTAATAAAGGACGCAACATTGCAGTCGCACTTGATAGGACCCCAAATATTAGAAAATGCACATGCTCAGTAAGTATGGTTTTGGAGCAACTAACATTTGAGTTGAATTAAATACAAAGTATACAAATACAAAATGTATATTGACTTATGAGTATAATAATATATCTGTTAGCGATATCTTTTATATGGTGCCGTCAAAAGTCACGTATGCGGAGTCAGGATGGACGAGCGGCATGCAGAACAGTGCTTTGGTTTTTGAAGAGACTGTTATTCAGGGTTGAACCGTTACGCCACCCCTTAAGTTAACGTATCTATAGTATAGAATGTCAATTACTTTGAAATTTTTTTACTCTTTCTGAAAAAAAATTATAGAGAAACAGAATTTACAGCCAAAAAATCAAGTTGAATAATAGCAAAAAGTTTATGTTTAAAATTTGTTTACTAAATGTAAAAATAAAAATAAATTCGAATAAATATTTTCTATTCAATATCTGATTCATCAGAACTATAATTGTGATACTCGAATTCAACGGATTCATTAGATTCTTCCTCATTTTTTCCATTTCGACATTGTCATGGATTTTCACTGGAGTTTGATCTCCGATTAAACCTGTTGGTTTTAAAAAACCATCTAAATGCCAACCGTAATTTTCAGGGTTTGCCTTCGCACATGTAGTTAAAAGTTGGATTAAGCCACGCAATATACATATATTATTCTTAAATTTTTTTGTAGCAGACAAATCCAACATGGCGGTATAAAGTTGGAGTCAAAACTTTTTTATCTTTTTTTAGAAAAAAAAAAACAGGTGAGCGGTCCTTCAAAAAAATATTTTTTTTATAGGAACAAATTCAACGAATGTTAAAATCACGCAATTTCTAATTCTATTACAAAATCAAAGAATCGTATGTTATATACTTACTGAATACTCTCTACTGAAAACTTCAAATTTTCATTGTATTTATTTGCTTAATGAGTTAATTTTTTGTAACACGTAGTGTGATAGCCAATAAAATCGAGTACTTCTTTAGTTAGTTCAACTTATGGTATTTATTTATTTTTTAACGAAAAGCTACTCTCAACGAAATATCTTTAAAAGTTTCATCAGTAAAATCAAATAAATAATCAACCTAGCCACGCAAAAAACACTTTTTAGTCATTTTTTATCACAATAATACGGTATAACCTATATTTTCGATGCTCCAAAATAACTACTTCAAAATAAAACTCACTGTTTACTATATGAAGGTTAGATATACTTTATAGTCCAAAATTTATGTGCCGAGCATGCGCACTTTCTTATATTTGGGTCCCATCAGGTGCGACTGCAATGCATCCGTTATTATTACTCGGATCTCTGTCGCATATTTCCACCGGTGTCAAAATTTAAATCTTTAAACTTCTGAAACCCCTATTAGTAGTAGTTCGTCCAGGTAAATAATAAGCAACCCAGCGACTGCACATTTTGTACTTTAAGCCGGCGAAAAAAATTCTTATTATCTTGCAAAATTTAATAAAAAATCTTTCTAATAAGCTAAATTTATTATAAAATATGTTTCGGATGTTAGACTACAAAGACAATATGGAACACCTTTTAACTTCACAAATTTAAAATAGTCGCCAATGACCGACGTCCTCCTGTATAGTTCGGGCTTGTATCATTCGCGCACCGCTGTTATTTTTCCGAAACAACAAAAAATAAATTATTAAATAGACTATTTGGGTCTCATCAGGTGCGACTGCAATGCATCCGTTTTTTTTTTTAATATCGTGAGCATATCAGTTTCTGCAAATTATGGCACCGGTAACATATTTATAATTTTTTAAAAAACGTTATTTGGCCGTTTTACAGGAAATTATTTTCGTTCGCATTCTGCAACAATTTACGACAACTCTAATTCGTTGATGCCAAAGAGTCCCTGTTGACTTTTTACATTGTAATGCGTTCGAATGCACCGATCTAGGATTCAAAAATGTTCAATAGGGTCCAGATCTGGCTATTAGTATGGCCAGTGAAGTTATGTTTTTTCTCTCTCAACAATTAACCATCATTAACGTGGATGTGTGTTTTGGACTATTGTTCTATTGAAACCGCTATCGCTTCTTCTTCAAGCGGTAACGTTGAATTTTCCAATATATCTTTTTTCCAATATTTGTTTTTTCGAGTTTTGAGCAACCTATAACGTGTTTAGCAAAATCGGAGCATATAATATCTGCCAGTTTCTCTGAAAAAGTTACAATAAAGCTACATCCCGTCTATAATGACATAACGTACTCTGTAGTTTTGAGAAATGGCAAGGTCTACAAAAAAAGTTTAATATATAAATTTCTTGTATTGACTCCAATTTCTTAAGTATCTGGTTTTTATGCATAAAAGGTGTTTAGCTTTTTTAACTTTCCTGAAAAACTTTTTGATTTTGAATGACACGCAATCGGCAATTGCGTTTTATCACTAGTTGATCGATATACGATAGTGGACGTCTGTGACGCGACGTTTCGTATTCAGAGGCGGAAGAGGACTAAAGTTTAACTGAAAATATAACCCAGCAAGGCATACATCAAAAAAGATCAGATTTATAAATAAAAATACATTTTTGCAAAAAAGGATCCAGTGGCGTTATATTTTTTTCATTTTCAACTCATAAATCAACCATAATACAATTGCCACGTTTCACGATTTGTAAATTTACTTTATATTTTAAATGTCACCGTATATTCCCTTATAAAATTGAGCATTTAAAAGACAACTTCATCGACAAACCGTTCTTTTTTTTTTTGAAAAACACTTTATAATAAATAATACATTTATTAATGAACATTTTTCGAATAAATAAATAAGTAAATTAGTTATTCAATCGGTACGATGGCTTGTGGTATTGCATGTCGTATAATGCTGAACTGAACTATAATGTAATATATAAAAATTGAGTGATTGCAAAACAAAAAATTTGCTTTACTAGGATGAGGCAAAACGAACTTTAATTTGCCATATATAGAAAAAATTAAGGATCAATATACATGGTTTTCGATTGAAAAAAAAAGTTAGTACGTGATCAGGAACAACTAAATACCCTTTATACATAAAGATGATATTCTTGAGAAGTTTAAGTCAATACAAAACGTTTTGTATTAAACTGTTTGTGTTAATCTTATCATTTCTCAGGACCGCGCTGAACAAATAACTAATTTATTTAATAGGGCTAGAATTGCGTATCGAAGTCAAAATTTCTCAAGAGCAATTGCTTAGGTCTGGGGAATTAATTATAGACTTAAGACGTCCTTTATTCCTGTCGATATGAAGCAAATATTACAGAGAATAATCCCACATAATGCCGATTTTTATTTGTTTGTGTCGCAATAGTGACATGAATTAAATATGTACAATTCGTCTTGGGTAGTTTTAATTTATTTGATTTAAAAATATCAAAAACTATTACTTTATTTTTGATAAATTGTAAATTGTTTTATTTAAGTATATTTGTTTCCATCCTGTTGTTTGTCCGTGCCGAATTTAACTTCTTAGACTACAATGTATATATGGAATCTCTTGGAAAAGTTAAATACGGAGGGCGCAACTCCTGTTGCTCGGGGCCATTTAGATACCCTAATTTCATTATTTAAAGTTTCTCACTCTATGATTTGTTAATAATTATATTGTAAAATAAGTTACATTTTTGAAGCTGGAAGACAAAATACATTGTGATTGTAATTAGTGTATTTATAAAATAAATTATGCTCCAGTAATATTTTTGTTTAGTAATTTTTCCATCTAGACCTTAGTCGTTGTCTATAAAATTTCAATTTAATTAAATTCAGTACAACAATTACTACACAGCAAACCTTATAACTACCACAACTTATACTATTATTTATGCGTCACATCGTTATTACTAATCTGGCACCTACGTATAGTAATACCTGTATGTGTATATAAATAACAATAAACAATAATCCGGAAACAATAAAAAGTGTGAAAACATTGAAACCAACATTATAACAATAAAAAAAAGAAGAGTAAGGTCAGCCAAATACTAATATCCAGAACTATAAGATAAGTTGAGAAGTGTAATTAGAAAAAGTTTAACTTAGTCATACTTCCGAAGCTAAAACGGACACATAACGTAGATAAATTAGCAGGTATTATATAATTTGGGGCCGATATGTGATACAAAATGTTTTCCCTGACTGTTTGCGCAATATGTAGTATTAAATTACTTAAATTTCGTCTCGTGTTGTAATTGTGACAAATAAAATTGTTAAATTTTTCCTTGATATGAACAAAACCACATGCAATTATTATATAAAAACTCTTAATTTCAAGTACATCTTCACATTATAGTAACACACACTGGATGACAGTTGTATGCACTGGCTTCTGTCATAGGCAATATATTGTATTTTTGCAATTTTTAAATTCAGCTTTAGGGAATCAAGGATATTTTTAATGCTCGGCATCAGTTTTTAAATTCAGTTCTTCGCGTCTTATTAATTTGGTGTTTAAAATATCAGAGCATTGTTAAGGTTGACTGAAAGCGAAACTTTAAGGGCATATAATGATTTAAAAAGGGCTTATCGGACTGTTAGAATTCCAGATAATAAAGAAGCAGTTCTAAAATCTAATGATGAAAATTCTGAACTCAGTAGTAGAAAAATTGTAAATAATCTGAATATCCCGCATGTTTTGGTTACGTTACTTTCCTTGCGTCTTAATCACGCATTATTATCCATCTCAAAAGTCGGGTTTATGGCACCCCAGTTAACACCGTAGAAGAGCTAACATTTAATTAATTAATTAATAAGAAACACTGAAGATATACTTCAAATATGGTTGGTTAGGTTGTACATAGTACATGTGTGCCAAATTTTATTAAAATAGCTAAAGTGGTATTGCAGATATTAAAAAAATATAATTTATTATTGAAAAAATTACCACCCTGTATCTCAAAAGTTAAGACGTTTAGGAAATATGCTCATACGAAGTTTTCTTTTTAAAATGGACCCAAAAATCGCTCCTTTAATTAGAATTAATTAATTAATTATAAAACACCCTGTATATAAGGCTGGCAACAAATATAATTATAGCAATTTTAGACCTAGAGCGAGATATATACATATCGAAATTTCAAAGCATTACCCGTGGAACAGTTATTTTGTAGAGTTTTTATATACTTGATTACCTCATTCGTATTTGTGGGACCTAAAAACATTGGCGCTACTTAAATGTTCCGAATTGGGGAGAGCGTTTTTAAAAACATTCATTAATACAGAAAGTGAAATAAGGTTTTATTGGACTAGTCGATTCAGAGGCTGTAATAATTAAGAGCGTCTTTTACAATACAACAAGCGAATATATAAGGCTTTTTTTTAATGCGATGTCAGCGAGGTGTTACGTTCACTTACCTTGGGGTTTCGTCTTCTGTTCGGGATGTATAACTCGTCTCTCCATAACTTTCGAAAATGGCAGAACGTTTTTTCGAAAGTTTCTAAAGTTTCTTCTTGGCAGGTATCCTCTGGTCTGAATGCAGTTTTCTTCAATTTTCGACTTTTTTTCCAAGAAGAGCAGAGCAGAACAGTGACAATTATTTGGAACGTATTTGTTTCTTCTTTCACTGGTTCCATAGGAGTTATTCTTTCTGCTAATTCTCTCAGCTGGTATATTTCATCAATATTTATTTTTGAAAGACTGGGAGTATCCAGGACTTTCGTTGCGTTCATTTCCGTTAATTGGATGTTTGGTAAAACGAGGGGTTTTCCGTATTGGATTTTTACAATTTTGAAGAATGTTTCTTCATTTATAGTTAATTGATAGTTAACTGGTATCTTAATCAGGACTGGTACTTCGATTTGCATATATCCATCCGTGTTACACTTACCTAGTAGTTTTTCAAGCTTCTTTGGTAGAACAAGAACTGAATTCTGAATTCAAATACGATTTCTTCTGAGAGATTCATTTTCGTAATAGGGCAATTTTCTATTCCAATATCGTCAGATAAGTTCTCCACGCATACATCTCGGATGAGTTTCTCCTTTACAAAAATAGATTCCTTCAATGACGGGACATGTTTCTGTGGTGAATTATCGCTTCTTCTCCGCTTGTGCCATGAAGGGTATTGATGGATAAAAATCGATTGATTTTGGATTATTGGGAAAATATGGTAAAATATTTCGGATCTTAAAATTCGTGCATGGGCTGCAAAGACCACTTTTAAGTCTATAGAATTTACCTGCGTTCCCAAGATTTGATAAAAAAGTAAAATACTTTTAAATTGTGGAATTTGATTTCCTTTATACATTGATGCTAGATATTTAAGCATTCTATTCAAGCCGATGCTAGATATTTAATCACTTTATTCAAGTCTGAAATCTAGGTTTAATTGCGTTATGATCTCATGATAACGTCATGAATCGTCATCAATCCGTCATTTTGGAATGTTTTTAAACCAGTTTGTAGTTTTCGTTGGTTTTCATTTAATTTCACAATTGTTTTATTATAGTTATTAATTATATTAATTATATATTGCTGCCTTATAATAATTTACGTCGTCAGCGTCGAGAATCCCAAATAGCCATTTATTTATTTTACCAACCGCTTTAATTAGTCCTCGTTCCTTGCGAACATGTGGATGTAAATTTTCAAGTTTTTCCACGGTAATTTATATGAGATAATCAGTTCTTAAAAGCAAATTTTCCGCAAGTCCATAATACGAAATACGATTAATTTTATTTTCAACGTTAAACTTATCTTTAATTATTTTAAATGCATTCTCTAGGTTTTCTAAGTAACTAATTGTTTGGCTGTGATTAAATATGTGTTTGTTATAAATTAGCCTTGCGTTACCTACCTGGATAGGAAGTGTAGGATTTGTTACTTTGGTAACTTGTGCGTCTGGCGTTACTATTCGTTCGGTTAGAACTGCTACGAGTAGCAGAGTCAACATTTTGATCTTCATTGCTTTTTTGAAAGAATAGATTTTTATTAGCCGTCGGCCTCCTTGCGGTACTTTTATGATAGCTTGTCTTGGGTGTTAGTAATTTATTTTCCGTTTGGTTTATTAACTATATCATTTTAAATTTAGGAAGTTCTGGTGGTTCTTCACGATTTTCGTTTCTCTTTAAAATAATGCCTTCTTTCGTTTTTTCATTTAATTCCTTTCTTTATGCGATTGAACGTAATATGAAATGATCGCGTTATCATTTGGATCAAAAGGATTTAAATGATCATTTATTACTTCAAAAGATGTAAATTTTGTTACTGTGTATAGAGTTGTTATGTTCCATTACTGATCTTTTTATGAGTTGATCTATAGTTAGATCTTTATTTTCATGTTTAAGACATATATAACTTTCAATACTCGAAGGAAATCTCTCCACAGGGGAGTTTGAATTGCTATTTTGTAGTATTGTAAAATGTAATTTTATTCGGTATAACTTACAAAAGTCTTCGAGGTCCTTGTTTTTAAATTCTATTCTCTGATCTGAGGTTATTTTCAGTGGTAATCCATGATGCGTTGCAAAACTAAAAAGATTTTCAACTACCTCGGTCCCTGTTATACTTTTTAATGGATACGCTTGTTCATAGCGCGACCAGTTAGTCCTGTGCTTATTACGATTACGTCTTTCAAAACTTCATCCATGTCGGAAGGATGATGGTGCATTCTTTAGTCCGAATGGCATTCTCGTGTAATCAAAATATCCGTTTTATACGCCAAAAGCTGTCTTTTCGATGGAATTCCTTTTTCATTTCAATGTGATGAAAGCCGCTGGCAAGGTCCAGCGTAGAATACTACTGTGAATAGTTTTTTCATTAATCTTCCGATAGTCTACAACTGATCTCCATTTTTGGGTTCCAGATGAGTTTATTCTTCGGCACTATATAGGGTTTGACCATGGGCTGGTGGATTTTATTCTTATTCTTTTTTCGACCGTTTCATCTATTTGTCTTCTTACTTCTTCTTTGTGGACGAATGGATAACTATATGACTTCGACTGTACTGGTATTTCACCCGTTGCCCTAATTTCGTGTTTGATTTTCGAGGAAAATGATAATTTGTTTTAGATTTAGATTACAGAAAATATCCGAAAATTTGTGACACAATTTCGTGATTAGTTTTTCTTCCGAATTCATGTGCTAAGTACGGATTACTCCTTTTATGTTCTAATTTGGAGGTTTAATACGTAGTTTTACAATTGTCAGAGATGATGTTATAATTGTAAAATTCGTATATGTCAGCGTTATATCGTTCAACTGGTAAAGGTTGTGTTAACGTAATTGATATTGTCTCGTTCATGGGATCTTGAATATCAATTAAAACGAAATTTATTTTTTGCATATCAAATAACAGATGGTATTTTTAGATTTTCCAGTTTTTGATTTTTTATAAAAATATCGCCTTCGATTTCATTAGCTGATATTTTTTTTAAAGATGGTTTATGGGGATTTAGTGATTTCTATATTTGAATAGAATTTCGTTGTCAAATCATTCATATTAATTAAATCAGTTTAACCTATTACCCGTCAAAAAAGTCATGAAAATCAAATAAACTCAATTCGATAATCGATGTTAAACTCAGAAAATGCTTGTATGCTAGCTTGAAATCTAGCATTTCCCTACAGCTGTCGTTATTTCATTATTTTTATCATAAATGCAAATGCAAATACAAACAAAAGATTGTCATCAGATGTTTTAATGTCGGTACCTGCTGAATGAATAATAGGTGGTAGCGACTCAGGTTGTATAAATCACGACAACTTCTATGAACACACAGTCTTTAGTAAAAAAATATCAAGCTTCCTGTAATTTTGTTTGTTGATGGTGATAAAACTCATTTGACCACTCAAACGGCCGATTTTGTTCAAAGTTGAAAATAATATTAGTCGCTCTCTACCCAAAGGAAACCTGAAGAAGAAAAATGAAAATTTCAGGTAGTATGCGGATTTTGAGAACGTAGTTTGTTCCAAAATAATAGAATATACACCAGTTATTCATAAACAGCTGAAAATAACCCCGTAGATATTGTTCCGTACCCATCCGAGATCCAAACTATTCCAGAACAGTTAACCACATTCGAAATCGACAATCTTGTAAAGGATAATACTGGGCCTTCCTCATGCTCCCATAGAACTACTTCAGATGAGTTGATAACATATGACATAAATAATAATAATTCACTTAATTTTCGCTCTACTTCATATACGACATTTCCGATGCAAGAAGCACTTGATCCAACTTTATAGGTGGTGGTGGTATAATAATCCTACTTTTTTGTATGCTTTTTGAAAATTTGTAGTTTTGTTATTTGCAAAATAAAAATAAAATAAAATTTTATAATATATAATATAATATTTAATTATGTATTTATTTGAGAAAAAAAATACCGCATCATTTGTGACATAATCATTTTAGTACAAAACGAAAAATACATTATTAAAATCCTTAAGCGATTACGATTAAAAAAATTCAACGAATATTTTTAAACCAAAGTGCCGGTAAAAAAATGTCGAACTATATTTCCCAGCGGTGTCCTCGGTGCGGATTTTTTCGGTCCTGGCTTGAACTTTTGTAGACTTTTTGTCAACGATAAGGAGCTAAGCTTCGCCTCGATTTGAATGTTTTTGCCGTCGCAATCGTTCCATTTAATGTAAAGACTTCCTAAATTAAAAAAAAAAGTGTTTAAAAACTTAATGAAAATGGGAGTTAAAGTGGATATACATTGGCGCGCTTTGCGAAAACTTGCAAACGCGCATTGAAGATTCAATTGTAATTATGTCTCTGTCACGCCAGAGAACTACACAATTTTAATGATGTTTGGTGCAGCTCTTTTAATGTCAAGTTCAGAAAAAAAGAAAAGAACAAAACGACTTTGGTGGCGTACTGATCTTTTCAAAAAAAGACATGCCACTGAGCTAATGTTAGATTTGAAGTCAGAGAGACTGAGACTTCAAATCTAACAAGTTTGGTAGGCATCGATGAGCATATTCAAGTTATTTTTTGGTCACTCCATTACCACGCAATCTTCAAGAACACAATAAAAGCGCAAGGAAAACAACAAATCCCTTTTATCTCCGTTCCAATTGCGCCGTGAACATGCAAAGGAGAGCGTCAAAAAACCGACTGGACACGGACAGAGGCGAGCGGTTTGCGCGCCTTTTGCAAACCGGTACTAATACATATGAATCGCGTTCGCGGCGCAGCGAACCAATGTATACGCACTCTTAGGTATATCGGGCGATTGATGATCGATGGTAGGAGAAGCGGCATAGTATATTATGCAACAAGTGCGGTAAACGGCATTTGAGTTATGAGTTTATTTGGCAAGAGCGGAGCGTGTATTTAATAAAATAAAAAAATAAAAAATATCCGAAGTGGCTCGGATCCGTGGGAAACAAAACTGACGTGGTAAAGTAACGCTTCCCGTACGCAAGATCCGTGTTATTTGAAAATTTGGATACTCACGATACAACGTTGCCGCTTCTAATCATAACACAACATTTAACAAAGTAAATAAGAACTAAAAGTTCAGATTTTCACGAAATTATATATATTCACATGACAATTGTTTCGACAATACCGTGTCTTTATCAAAGGTCATCACATTTATTTTATTTATTTATTTATTTATTTATTTACATACACGGATCAACAGGATCAAACTCAATTATAGAGCAAGCGAACACCAACAACATTTAATCAGAATTACAAAATTATTTACAAAGTATAAACACCACCACGCAAATACACTAATATTGCAAAAAAGATGATCCGCAACAAAACGAACAAAAGAAAAATACTAATGAAGGAAATTACTCAACTGCGAAGGCAACGGAATTGCAAGAAAACTAGCCACAACAGAATTTTAGCCTAATGCTACCCACACTGCAATTAAAAATGTCTAAATCGCTGGTACGGTTGGATACGTTGCACATATTATATAAGGGAGAGAACTTCAAGACATTAGTCCTCGCGGTGGGAAGGTAAAAGGTAGCAGAGTATCGCGATGCTAACCGCGGAACCATGAAATTCAGCTGCTCAAGTAAGTCAGAACAATTTACCGAATTATGAATCAGCTTGTATAACAAAACTTGTGACAAATACTCGCGCCTGGTCTGCAGAGAGTCCATCGAAAACAAATTCAGCAACTCAGTCTGAGAAACACCCTGTTCAGGATAAGATCCATGACTTTTATAATACATATATTATAGAAATCGCCTTTGAATGGACTCCAAGTTCTGCGAACGGCAGATAGCAGGGGCATATTCTAACTTCGAGCGAATATAAGCGGTAAACAAAAGCTTTATCGATTTATGTGAAGCAAAATCCCTACCGCATCTGACCTAAAGTTTTAGACGAGTTTGCCACTATTGACTCGATGTGATCAACGAACGACAACTTTTTATCGAATATTACACCTAGGTCGCGCACTAAGTCCGGTCTAGCAAGAGATGTTGAGCCAATGCTGTAGTCAAAGAGAATTGGGGACGATTTCAAAGAGTAAGTCGTGACACTGCCTTTGTTAATGTTAAGAGGCATCATGTTGTTGTTACACCACAGATTTAGAATCTTCAGATCATGTTGCAGTCGAATGCAATCAAGAAAATGATTTATGATAACATACAGTTTTAAGTCATCCGCATAAAGAAGGTATTTGAAGGAAAGGTCCAGCCATATGTAATTCATAAATAGAATGAACAATAAGGGCCCTAGGACGGAGCCCTGTGGCACACCCGAAGTTACATTATATTCGCTCGAACTGAAACCATTCACGAAAACGTACTGGCTGCGGTTAGTTAAGTATGATTCCGTGAACGTGAGTAAAGAGGAGGAAAATCCATTTCTAGATAATTTGTTTAACAGAATGCTGCGATCTAGTCTGTCAAATGCTTTTGTTAAATCTACATAAATGACATCCAGCTGTGCATGGTCATCGATGGCATTAGCTGTATTCTGCGTGATAAGAAATAAATTTGTAGTTGTCGATCTACCCCTTATAAAACCGTGCTGTTTCGAACACAGCTGTTGACTCGTCGCCGAGTAAATAACATTATAGAGAAGGATTTCGAAAACCTTGAGGAAGTTGCATATTATCGAGATGGGTCTATAATTACTGATGACATTCTTGTCTGATTTCTTATGAACTGGGCAAACTGTGGAAGTTTTCCACGACTCAGGAATGTGGCTGGACTGAAGACAGAGATTAAATAATCGCTGAAGTGGCTTGGCGAGTACATAAGCGCAGTCCTTTAAAAGCAGTGATGGCATGAGATCTGGTTCTGCGGTCAACTTGGGCTTTAATTTCTTACAAGCAGATATTACTTCATCTTCGGCAACATTCCGAACACCTATGGCTTGATAATTCAGAGAGCCATTTGACTTGTTATCCAAAGGTAGGTTAGATCTAGGAATAACGATTGATTAAAGAAATCTGCGAAACCACTAACGATATCAGATGGGTTGTTGAATTCACAACCCTCATGGATCATATAATCGGCAACGCCAGCGGCATCCTTTTTGTTTTTCACGAATGTCCAAAATCTAGATGGATCGCTCTTTATCTGAGACTTCGGTTTTAATTATTTTTCTTAGGTTTGTGAACTATGCGGAAATCTTATCGTTAGGCGCCTTTCTCATTTTTTTGTGCAGTTTATTCTTTTTTTTTTAATGTCACTTATTATAGAACTAGTGTACCATGAGGGAAATCTATTTGAATAATTGATATATCTTGGAACACATTCGTTAAAAAATGCATACAATTGGCTGCAAATTAAGTCATTGGTTTCAACATCAGAGCACTCCCCAACAAAAGACCAATTGCAGTCCGCCAACATTCGATAGAGGCGTGGAAAATCTGCCTTTCGAAAATTAAAATTGCCCTGAAATTTTGTAGTAAGATTGGAAAGTAATGTTGGCTGCATATAATTAACGCACAAAGAGAGTGCAGGATGGTGCGCATCCTCCTTGACCAGCAAATCGAGAGATCTTTCTACCTGGCAGCAATCATAGTTGGAAAGGACTAGATCCAAGATACGATTGTTCGCATTACGAACAAAGTTGAACTGCGACTGGCTAAGAGTATGCATAAAATTGATTAGCACATTGGTATATGCATTTCTTTTGCCAGAATCTAAGAACTGCGAGTACTTGGCGAGATTAAAATAAAAAATTGATAAAGATACGGTGTTGACAAAACAATTGTCATGTGAATATATATAATTTAGTGGAAATCTGAACTTTTAGTTCTTATTTATTTTATATATTTAGTTATTCATTTATTTACGCCACTCCGCAGAAAATTCCAATTACAAAGTGAAACTCACACATACTAACCAGCCGAACAAATGAATGGACATTAATCATTAGCAACAATTAAACAATTAAATACTAGTACAGGCTCGCTACTACTCGATGGTCTATTAGAAGTATATGAAGAATAGATAAAGATAGCCATTTAAGGGGACTCAATTCAAATATTTGGAATGTTACAGCGTTGCCACAGCAAAACAATAATATAGTCTTGGCATTAAAAAAAAACTGTACAATGTTTACTGACCTCATGAAACCACTGCCTTACAACAAACGCAATTACGCGATAAATGTGCTTTCTGCAACATATGCCGCCACGACCCGACGCGGCAATGTTTTGATTACATATTTGGGAATCGCAGAAACTATATTTGTTTTCGGAACTAAAGTTCCGTAAGTTAATGCCAAAATGTATGCCAATAGAGTAGTGTAGATATATCAAAAATTAATTCAAAAATGTTGCGCGATAGAAACAAAAAAAAAACATTGTTATTCTACTAGTTTAGTACTCATAACTAATTATTATTTTCAAAATTATAAATTAAGCGTGAATGGAACTCCCTGTATTTTATGGCAGCTATGAAACGAAGGATTCTTTCCTGATTTAAAAGGTATTATAAGCTACATTACTATTTTATGTGTTTTGGTAGCGATATACCTATTTTGATAATTGAATTAGAAAAAATGTTCGAAAACGAGACAAAATGCGAAAACAACTGAAGAATCATAAATTATACTTTTAGCGACTTATTAAAAATAAACAACAAAAATTGCAAAAAAGGTCTGTGCGTACATGCCCGAGACAATAATGTTTGTTAAGATACCAGGCTGAACGCCACTGGACTTCACAATTGTTATCTAGTTAAAGCAAAACAAGTATTTTGTCATTATAAATGACATTTCAAATAATTATTTTCTTCATACTGTTCAGCAAGGAATCGCACTCTAAAATATCTCCGTTTTTTTCGAAGACCCTGTATAACCAGTACTGGCCAGGCTTTCATGGAAGGCTTATCAATAGGGATCAAGGTGCATTCAGCGAAAGGGAGGAGACTAATAATCGTCCAAATTGGAATGATTATTAAAATGATAATGATGATGATGATGATATATTAAAAGTATAAATTTGTTTAATGTCAAAGACCTATTGCTTAATTTCAGTTCCTATTAATTAAGAGGATTTTTTTATTCTTTGCGTTGTTCCCGCATTGTTCTGTTGTTATTACTTACTGACAACTTAATTTATCGCAGATATAGTTTCTTTTTCTTTAAGGCCTTCATAATAATATAGTAACTTATGACTTGAGAATAAATAAATAATATTGAATCATTCTGCAGTCCTCTGGCAAATTTAACGAGGCTTTATTACCCTACACCTTTCTGGAATGGACTTTAACTGACCATTGACCATCGATCATGAGTTATTTACCTGCAACGCTGGGCGAGTTGCATATCCAGAGAAAAATCACGTACAGCGGTAGAGCATTGAAGAAATTCTTCAGACTAGCGAGCAAGTTGTTGAACAGCAGCGTGGTCATTCGAAACTTAGCAAATAACAACATATATATTAATAAATTGATGGTTTTTTCTGGGCTAATGAAAAGTCAAAATATTAGGTGATTTACTTTTCGGCAATTTTATTGCCTTCTTTAGGATTCCAAGAGAGATTAAATACACTTCACATTGTGTTATGTAAAATAAAATTGTCAACAAACAAAAAAACTGTATATGTGTATGAAACAATAAAGATCTTGGTTAATTATATATGCAAATAAATAACAAAAAATACAAAATTTGTATAAATGTAAAATTATACAAGTCCCAAAAAAAAAAAGATAATGCTAACAAGGATTATATAGAGCTAAAAATGAGAGATACAATAATGACGATTGTTAGTATAAATACATTCAAATTGTAGGCCATTAATTAGATCACACATCCCCCAGAAGGCAACCAAAATTTGGAATTTACTATTCAGATCGTTCTAGCCGGGGGTATGCAAAGGGAAAAATGATTAATGTACTTTTTATTTGGTTTATTTGTCAACAGACTTACTTTAAACTTGTGAAAATAAAATACTCGTCCAACTATTTAACTAATTCACGAGATTCAATTGATTATGCTAAAAAACACCAATTTATATTTTCAATATCCGTTCATTTAATGCTTTTCCTAATTTTTGTCTAGACAGTCTCAACATTTTTTCAGATATATTAAAATCCAAGAATCTATAATCAAATCTAAATTAAAAAATTCTTATCTGGAACACATATTTCTTGAAACGGTCAAATTTATGAACAAATATTAAGCAGTAGACACTTTCCATCTAAAACCAAAACATACCGATTGATGATACTTTTGTTATTTAGCCTTATGGTCAAGGATCCTTCAGACATTTTCTTAACCACTTAAAGCCACACTCTACACACTTCCCCACTTACGTCGTATCTTTGAATTAGAAGTTAATAATAATCTCCCACTCTTAACTATTTTTATTAATAGAAAGTCAGACCATTTTTTCAGTTTACAAAAATCAGACCGTCACCTTAATGCATTGTCACATCACCATCCGACCCAAAAATCATCAGTTATCAACTCTTATGTTTACAGAGCCGTAAAACTATCTCCGCTCGAGTCATCGAACACAGAATTAAAACACCTCACATCTGCTCCCCTCTGAAGTAATGTCCAGATTTTAAGCATTCAATTACATATACATTTCACAGCATCTTCTCAAAAAGAAAATTACTCTGGGAGCAAGCCTCACACTGACCACTGTGGTCCTTATATGGAAATCAGTCAGAAGTTGGCATTGCTTACACTGTATTTGTAGAGGACTTTCAACTTCTGTTTTAGCGATTTTTTTTGCACGGTGTTCTTACACAACAATTATTATAATTGCTGTGGTTAAGACATAAGTTGTTCATAAGGCCTTGAACATATAAAATTTTATTATATTTCAGGGTAGTATAACTCCTTCCAGCAGTTTTCCTTTCTTAATGCGGGAGAGCAATAAAATGTAAATTTTTAAATTTGTAAACAGAGTGGACAACTGCATGTATATATAGTTTTCCACATTTTAACAACCACACACCTCGAACCGTTCTTAATTAGCGACACACTTTTTGCATACAATACAATACAATAGAATACAATAGAAAGACGAGTTCGGTGAACGAAAGTAATTCGTAGCGACCTTACTGGAGGTAGCTCATAATAAATATAATAATAATTACAGATTATTATAATTATAGAGATAAATATAAGATCAAAAACATCAAAATACAATAATACAACCCAATTTGTAAATTTTAGTTATTATGTAGTCAGATGTCTTCGGAGTCCCACATTTTTCCTTTTATGTCAATCACATGTTCGACTGAGCCACACCATTTTTTTACAATCCACTATCTTTATTTCCTCTCTCAAGAGGGTTTCAACGTTTCTCATCTCTTCGGTGACCTCATGGGACAGTCATATTAGAACACCTTTCAACTATTTTTAAAACTACGACATTTAGAATACGGCCAAGGCCAGCAAGTTTTACAGTTTTATAGTCAGTTATAACACTCTTTCGCATTAAGAAACAGCGCATTGGACTGCAGTTTTAATCTGCCATAAGATTGTCAGAAGGTGGACAAGATTATCACTTTCAAATAACTATCTGTTGTCAGTATATAAAAACCTGTTGGAAATCCGTCACAATTAATTTGGTGTTGTGCTGTAATATACGGATCATTTTCTCGATCATTAAAATCATGAGATCGATAGTAAATAGTACAAGAAACTTAACGTCTAAAGACATAATGAGGCGTACAGTTTTTAAAATATTTGTCTGCTTTTAATTTATTAAAGAAATGGCCACACGCTACTGTTATACTATTTACAAATCTTCTGGATTCCACCTGCTTAGGTTGTTGAGGAGTCGAACTTGCTAACATTTCGCCAATCATCCTGTTGAGTTCTTCAGAGCTTAACTGAAACTAGATTGCATTCTGCTATAGCTTTGCTTATATTGTTGGTTATATATTGTTTGAACGGGGCGGAGCTAAAGGAGGTGCATGCAAAAGATAAAGCCCTGAGTCATGAGAGAGATTATTGAGAATTGACAACATGTTGGAATTTTAGTTTTGGTTAGTTATAAGTAGATATAATACCTGCTTTCAACAGCAATTTCGGCCGTTTTTACACGTAAATTCCCATAAGAAAATTTAAGGTTCATATTAGCGGAAATTGATCCGCTCAAAGGTCATTCGATCCATACCCTCTTAGCACCAACCAAACCTACCGACTTTAACGCCTAACGGGCATATTAAAATTATTGGGTAATTGTGTGTTAGGTATTGAGAATGATGACTATTTTTTTTTTCGCTACCGAGGATCGAACCCGGGACCCGTCCAATCTTAGCCGTACACAGGATAGAGTAAAAACAGATCTCGCAGATATGTCGAATTTCATGAAAACACATGAAATAATTAGGTAAAAAATACACAACAAAAATTATTCATCCCACACGCAAATATATTTTGCGCCTTAAAAGCAAAGGCGATCCATCCGCCCACTAGGATATCGCCGCACCGTAGTCTCTTATCTGCGGTTGCGAGGCATAGTTGCGAGATAAAGTTAAATATATTGAAAAATTGAATCCAATAGCACATTTAATCTTTAAATAAATGTCTTCTAGATTGATAAACACTTTTTCAAAATAGGCATTTGCAAATCGGTCGTCTGTTTGCTGTTAACGGTAGACACGTATTATAGGTACTGGTTAGTTGCAAAATTAAAAACCAAATTTACAGGAGTCAAACTGTTTATTAACAGTGGAAAATATAATAAAAGTAGTTGGAGGTAATAAGCGAAAAATATTAAGGAGTTCCGGTCTTTTTTATTCTAAATATGCCCAAAATGTAACAAAAAAGATCAAAATATTTCATGCATTTTTAAAAATAAAAATTTAACGAGGCTGCCAGACGTGAACTGAGTCCTTAAGCGCATTCGATTTTTAGGAAAAAAACGAAATTTCAAAGCTAAACCTATAAAACACATTTATAATCAAGCGGAGACAGTTTTTTCTTCCATAATCGAATAGTGACCCCACGGTAACGTTTCTACTGACGACTTTGATATGCGACGTTTATCATCGCAAGGACTTAACCCGATCTTCTTTTGGGATACTGTGTGCAACTCCAGTTTGCTAGCTCTTATTAAATTCTGCGATATGTTTTTTTCAGCGAAATTTTGCAAACAATCGACGAAATCTTCAAAAGTTATCTTAGTTTTGATGAAGGATTTTTTAACTCCTTTGATCCTCTTCGTTACACCCAAGTTTTTAAATTCATGTTCAAATGCTTCTAGATCTGTTTCTGCAGCCATCAATTCTTGTTTTGCGGATTCCTCTTCCTCCGGTGTCTTATATAGCTTTGTGGCGTACATTTTAGCTCTAAGTCCGATAAAATGAGACATAATTCGCCCATTACTCTCATCCTTCATCATACCCAGAACCTTTTTATTGACTGTGGGTATACCGTACGGATTATCCTCCGCATAGTCCGATGTATCAAAATACCGGAAACAATCCTTTTTTAAAATCTCGTACGGGTCTATGGATAATATCTCGTATACAAGAGAATCCGTGTCGGTATATAAAACTCGGGAATTGGAAAATCTTTCTTGAATGTAGTTGTAGTGAAAGTCATAAATTGTTGTCTTGGCTATCTCCATAATTGACATCCCAACGTAGATAGGTTTGTTAAAATATATTTCAGATTTTTTTAATTCAATAAGAACGAGATTTTTACTAATTATAGTTGCACTTTTAAATTCGGGTCGGGCAATCAGAGCTTCCGCACCGTAGCGACCTTCCCAGTTTTTCACAAGCTTAACGTTGGAATGGTTCCGTATGTTTTCCATTGTTTTTCCAAACACAGCATTGATCATCAATTTAAACAAGTTCTTTTCAAACTCGTTTTTGGCAGCCTGACGTAGTGCAATATTTAGGTCGATATAGGCTTTTAACCAAGGCGACCGGCTGAACGAGACGGCTCGATGTACCTTTCTTAACTTAGCTCCCAGTTGTAGCGCCTGTTTCAGATTACGATAGTGAATGACATACTCCTGCTTGTCGTATAAGGTGGTCAGTAATTTTTGATTTTCGGATCCTGGAGGGCAGCGATGTTCGGGACATGGAGGTAAATCTGCAAATTTGTCATGCAACTCCTTGGGTATTTCCAAATCGACCTCCAAGATGTAGCCGACGTCCGACTCGTTGGATATATTTAAAATGTCAAGATTTTCGATTTGCTGCTCATCCAACCAATTAAAACCTCCGTACGGTAGGTATTGAGACATTGCCCACCCGTATTGGTTATTGACGTCCGACTGGTTGGATATATTTAAAATGTCAAGATTTTTGATTTGCTGTTCATCCAACCAATTAAAACCTCCGTTCGGTAGGTATTGAGACATTGCCCACCCGTATTGGTTATTGACGTCGAAATACATCAAGTATTTATCAACTTTCGAGGGATCGTAGCTGTGCATATA